TTTGTCATCTTTTGACTCAAGCATTTTGACCCTGTTTTCCTTGAACAAGGCAAAGGTTAAAGGAGCATGAAAGGACATCATCAATTCAAGGTTTATTGGATTGGATTCTGAATAGAATGATAAAATAAAACACAGAAAGACGAGAAGAGAAAACGACTACCTACCTTGTAGACAGCATAATCCATATGTTCATAAACGTCATCTTTAAGATAGAGAGCATAAAGTTGTCTTGTCTTGGGATAGGCGAAGGAGTCATACGTTGGATCCCAATCTTTCAAGAAGATGTTATTGAATGCCTTTTCATTGTCCTCAAAGAATGTGGCCTGTCTGAACTGATTCATTCCAAACTGAATGAGCTGAATCAGAAAGAAACAGAGAAATACGTACATGTCCATCAACACCTTGTCATAGATGTTATTCCACGTCACATGTTACCTGTGCAATGCCATAAATGATTACCTGTAAAGTCACCAGTATAATTTTGATGATCTGCACCCCTAACTTCCATGGTTTTCGTCCCCTAGCTTTGTACTTCTCATACGGGTTCATGAAGAAAAACTTCAGTTCTCGTCTCATCTTCTCCTGGACTGCGGGTGGTGCGCTATAATCATAGTCTCTGGACATCCCATAATTGGAGTTCCTCTCCTCCTGCATGCTGTCATCCACTTGGATGGCATCATTGTCACTGGTGTTACAGAAATGGGAGATAAGGCCATGGTTGCCTTGGCAATGGTTACCATGGCAATGAGTACCATGGCAGTGGTTGGCCACTGGACCATTTTGGCGTTTAGCAGCAGTGTTCATCTTAGAGTGGGAGTTGACAATACTGAGGAATAAACAAACAGGTTGGACAGTGTTTGGTTCCCAGATTCACCTTCAAATTTTTCAGAGGTAAACAAACAAAGAGAATGATTTCTTTGTGGATAGCCCTAATAAAAAAAAAGATTATTTATCACGTACAAGTCCTTAAAACTAAATGATATGGAACAGCGCTGAAAACTCCGCAACCTTTGCACTCTAACAACTGAGCTTTGTTTGACATGGGATACATGTACATATATATCCAGGAGGAGTCAGGTTGGCAGAGTGGTTCGTTCCCAGCTCAGTCCACTTGTGGACTGGGTCTTCAGTCCCTATCTGACTCTGTGGGTTTTACCCACGGACGTATATAAAAAACCTGGACTTGCAACGCCTTTGTATGAAAAAGAAGCCAACCAGCGGCCATTTTACCGAGCCGAATACAGAGGCTTGGGTTGGCTCCGTTCTAGTGACGTCGGGAAGAACAAAGGCGGGCATTGCTAGGAAAGCTTTGTATTCGGCTCGGTAAAATGGCCGCGAGTGGATTCAATGACTCTGTAAGCCGATTAAGGGCATTGCGAGTCCAGATTTTATTATACACGTCCGTGGTTTTACCCAGAATATTCCTCTGGAGTTGTTCTCCCACCTCAAAAACTGTAACTGCTTCTCACTGTGTCCGTACTACAGGTTTCTTCAGGCTTGTGAGCTTACTGTGGCTAGCTTACTTTTGAGGAATCCTTGGTGTCATTACCAGAAATGATTAATAACAACAATAATATCCAGTATGCATGTTCATGAGTATGATGTATGCAGTGTAGAATTGTGAAAACAAACTGTGTCCCTAGCAGGTGTTTATCTCTTTAATCTTCAATAAGATGACTACATGTCTGCAAGTGTGGCTGGTGTTACCCCCAGAACTGTGGGGTCTGACGTCCGCCCTGCTCCCACAGGTGGGGCGGACGTCGGACCCCACAGTTCTGGTGGTAGGCTGGTCATGCTGGTGTATGGTGGCAAAAGTTCCCCCATGGAGGTAGGAAAAGGCCTAGCAGTAGCACCACAAGCATGACAAGCTTTATTGCTTAAGACCGCATTGCTGATTTTGCACAACTGTGGAACGGAAAGGCATTGGGGGAATGTTTGCCCCTTTTCCCTTCCCATGATGTCTTTATTGTGCAAAATCAATGTACTCTTGCAGTGTCACTGATAAGGCTTATATTAATTGCGACAGTCTGACACTGACAGTATATGTACACCGCTGCTGTGTCAGTGTGGGGTAGGCCTAGTCACACTAGTCTGCTGAAAATGAAACACTAAATCTTGACCATGTTGACTGTAAAACCATGGAGAAATAACCTACCTCATATGCAGAGAACTATTCATAATTTCACTACAATGTCCCTTGAAAAACCATGCCCAGTGTAGACTGATTTATTTACAAATTTATCATGAATGAACTTGTCTCCAGCCCGGCATATATTCAGCGATCGCCGATGATTTTCGAACGCGAGCTCTGCCTAATTTCTCACTGACTCTGTCTCTTGCGCACACAGGAAGTAAAGTGTCCTATCCTACTAGCAAAATAATACACTTACTGTGCACGAGGCCAGGCTGGGAACTTTCTCTTCTTTGTCACGACGTCATTGCATGTCGTACATTATGTCCACGGCTTCCTCGGCAGGAAAGTTTGCGTTTTTTTCTGCACTGGTCCGCCGGCTGGGTCATGATAGTCATGTGATCCGGCCAACGTTTATTAGACTGGATAACCATCACCGAAACGATATCTTACAGACCAACCAAAACAAAATCAGAAAAACACAATATAACTATGGAAAATACAACAACAAATGAGTTCTAACATTGGCTTGATGAAATTTTGCCAAATTATTTTTAAGAGGATCACGCTGTTCATCCGGTATCCTCGTTGCATCAAGGTAATGTGGTTACATAAAGGGACAGGAAATTAGTCTAGCACTAATGGCCCGACAAACGCCATTTTCCACAACGTTAATGCCTCCTTTTGTAGCATGTGTCCTAGGGTTCCGCAACCAAATTAATACTTTACGCAAGAAACAACAGTTTAGCATTATGAGTCAAACATTGTAGTGCATGGATTCTGTGACGCAAGATTTTTCACGTGAATTTCTCCCTCGAACAAACACAGACAGACGATCATCATCATGGCAGCGCAAGACGAGCTTGGTAATGGTTGGGCTGGTATTTTACCAGTTTTCTGCCGAAAATTTTCTTTAAATGTAAACCTAAAACTAAAGTAGTAGTTTGGTCAATAACTATGGTAGCTGTGGTCAATGTGACCAAACTCCAGTGTTTTGAGTGACTTCATCACGAAAAAGTTAGCCTAGCCTACATTCTCAACCATGTCAACGGCATGAGTTGGCATTATTATTAAATTACCCACAGGCAGATTTTGGGGGTACCGAGTCACCCTCCAGTTGCTTTTTTGGCTTTAGCCGTTTTTAATCTTCATCTAATTCCATTCCATTATTCTTACATCTTTTGTCAGGACTGTGATTAGGCCTACTAGTATTATTATTGGATATCACTAAGCCTAGGCGTTCTACATGTTAAAGCCTTCTTTTTAGTACAATGTACTAGTCTGGATGGGTGGGGGGGGTGACAGCATTACTTCCAGAACCTTCCGGCGTGTAATCATGGCAAGGGATACCCTACAAGCACACGTAAGCTACATGTAGATAGGTTTGCAGTAGCACCATGGACTGATGACATCTCTTCTTTGAGTACATGTATGAGGGGTTCTGAAAAGAACAGGAATACCTTACAGTTCTAGAAATAGTGAATGTATAATGTTTACACTTATGAGATTAATTCATTAACATTATTCAGATCTAGGAATGCTATGGGATTTGGACTTTTTTATTTATTTCCCTGTGCGAAATCCCCCAAAGCCATGAAATACAAACAATGACAAAGAGAAATTGAAATATTATGCAATTTAATGTAGGATTCAGTTTCAAACAATAAAGGGTACCGTTAATCAGAAATTTCCCCCATCATGCCCACATAGCTGCCTACTATCATGACAGTATGCTCTGAACTCGGAGAGTCAGGTAGGGCTTCAGACCGTTTAGTATTGTCAGTGGATCACCTTAGCAGCTCCTTCAACTGCAACATTAGCAGGGCATTCTACAGTCAGTCCAAAAGTTTACTCCCTGAACAAAGTTTTGTTCTTTGTCTCCTTGAATAGAACTGCTGGAGAGGGTGTTTCTACGCATCGGCTCAGCAGAAACTGACGAACAGCTACAAAATGTGATTTCACGATTTCTACCCCCGGTGCTCCTGAAACTATGCAGTACCCAGGAAGGTGTAAGAAAAAAGGTAATTTGTCCAAAATGGGGTTCAGAATGGTGCTCATTGAACAGGTGTTAAAAGTGATTTGTAAACAGTATTTAGCAGTCATCCTTGAATAATAATATGGAACGGGAAGTTAACGCGCAACTTGAGTTCTTGTCCAATGGGGCCTTCAATCAGTGGTGCATCCATATGTATGACAAAGTCAAATACAAACCGGATAACCAAAGACATGAGCGTCTGACAAGCACAAGTTGTCAGGTTCTTTGCTGGCCACAATCCTCTGGTTCCAAACATTAAACAAGTTCTTTGTCATAACAGCCAAAGCACACCCTAGTCATATTCTAGCATGAACATATGAACGAGTATAAGGCAGTGCAGTGATGGCACATTACATTTGTTGATGGACAAATTCTATCCATCGTTAGCTCGTGGGTTTTTAGAATACGTAACAGGGAAGGCATAGTTTTTCCTGACAAGCCTAAAAATGAGGTTATTAGGTTACAGTAGTCTAGTTTGCAGTATCCTCCTTGTAGTGTTTAGGATTCTTCAACAGAGTAGAAAGGAACCAGTTTAAAAGACACAGATCTCATTTTCAAGATAATTTGTGGCATTAATCCACTGACATACATATGATTTCATGAGACCTGAACAGATTTCAAGTCATTTAATTTTGCCAGGTGTTGGAGTTGCTGGTCCACGTCAATAAGAGATTAAAGAGTCGACCCAAGGTGCAGATTCCTGTTGATGTTCTTCTGTTGCAGTATCAAGACCCAGCTAATGTCACATTTGTCACAGTGAGTTTGATGTTCATGCTCTTTACAGTTTAATTCAAGACCCAGCTAATGTCACATTTGTCACAGTGAGTTTGACGTTCATGCTCTTTGCAGTTTAATTCAAGACCCAGCTAATGTCACATTTGTCACAGTGAGTTTGACGTTCATGCGCTTTGCAGTTTAATTCAAGTGCCATTCAAGTTTGGTTATCAGGGAAAAAATTTCCTATTACTTCAAGTAATAATTGCACCAAGCCCTGTTAACCCAAACCCTCTAAGGGTGCTTGGCTAGAAGCCGGGCCAGACACATCAGACTGCATGGTTTGTCAAAGTGGATTGCCTGCCCAGTGTAACAAGATCAGGTCAACTCTCCCCAAGGCCAAACAGCCTGGGAGTCTGTGGTTGCCAGTCACCACAAGATCCAACAGTGGCATTGTTTAATGGGACTAGTTGCCATTGTCTTAACACGGCCAGTTTGTTTGGCTGCTGTTGACTGCCCGGATCATCAAAGGGCATCTGACTTTTTCACCTGATGCACTGTGCTGCCTTTGGCAGGGTTATTGATAAAGCAGCATGATACTCCTTTTGTATTGCAGAATTTCACCGTGTTGTACCTCAAGATGGGATACCCTAGACTACCCATGGAGAAACAAGCCGAGTTAGCACCCTCACTCATTCAGTGTCTAGAAGGCAAACCGGTATTGCAACAAGATAGGTGAGTGGTAAAAGACTGTTTGGAAGTTGCTCTTCATGTGTGACAAGAAGGTTTGTTCTGTCAAAAAAGAGACTTGTGTTGAATGTAGAAATATGAGTTGTAAGTGAAATAATCACGTGCCAAATGAAAGGTCATGTCAGAGATTACCCACAGAATGAATATTGAAGAAAGACATGTCCTTGTCATGATTCATTTGAGGAGTTTGGGACTCAAAGTAGACCCTAAACTGGGTTGCTTGAGACAACTTGATTACAACACTGAGTGGTACTTTTCTGTCTTTCTATATGGCCTGGGTTCAAATCCCCATCTGAACCCACAATGAGACTGATTTTCATTTCCTGCCCTAACCTTATTCTCAAGTGAGGGGACATGAATGTAGCATACAACAGATTCCATTTGGACATGTCCAGAATTCCATCAGTAGCAGCGTATGTTCTATGTTCAAAACTGTCATATTATCATGGATGCCTTCCCTCGTCATGTTATAGCCTTCTACAGATGCTGATCCCTACACTGCCTCACCTGAAGCTTCCCAAGGACCCAACTCAGAGGAAGGTGGTCTTTGGTCTCAGTGAGAAACCAGCTACGATTCAACTCCTGCTGGGCTTCATGCTAGACTATCTCTTGTTGCCCTACACATTCAGGTAGGTACTGCCTTGAGATTTGGGCTGGTAAGGCAAGTGACTTTTGGGCTTGTGAGATTTGGGAGGTCAAGTCGAGGCAGGCAAAGTTTTTGCAATGTCAAATAATACTTCAGTGTTTAAGTCTGAACGGACAAGGTATTAGCTGGCAATGTTTAATATTGGTTTTGGTTGGTGGGGATTTTAGGCAGGACACGCTTAAGTTGATAGGATATCAACAGGTGCAATTGTGGTTAGTTAGGTTTATATTTTGGTAGGTGAAGTAAAAGGTTGATGAAGTTTGAAAAGGTGACATTTACATGGTGGGTCTTTACTTCAAGATCTGCCAAGTTCAATTGGGTCCAAGAAAAAGGACAATTTTTTGGA